CAACTACACTCTATTGTCCCACAAGAGCAAAATATCTTTGATGAACCATTTATTCTAATATCTATTTTTTCCCCTCTAAAGATATATTAATATCAGAAATCAGGTATCACTAAAACTTTCAATGTTATGACCTGGAAATAAATATGCTATCTGTCATATTCCAAAATACTGTCTCCTATATTATAAGTATGTAATACCACAGGAGTTGGTAAATGGCTTTTGAGTAATTTTGTAATAATTATGAGTTCTACTTCTTGAAATATACTATCTGCCTCAGACCCTGTAACTTGCATTTGAAAGACCATTCTCTAGTCTTTCGGGGGTGAAGGCTGTGGAAGTGAACTGTGTATCTCTTCAGGGAACTGACTTAGAGCTTTGAAGTCAGTTTATAAAAGAAGTGTTTCTTGAGCGCCAATATTGTATCATACACTATGCTCAGCACTAAAAGTCCAAAGATAAATAAGGCTTGGATTCCTTTCTTGAAAAAATATTATTTCAACCCTCTGTGGTATATTAGATAATAAAGGCAAGCACAGGTTTCAGCGGAACCATAGAGAAGAACAGTGGAGCCAGTGGTAAAACCCAAATAGAATGCCCGAAGCTCGTGATGCTGGATAGAAGCTTAAGGGATAAAGATCATCATCAGGTGAAACACTAATGGAGTGAGGGCAGAGGAATCTGGGTGTCAAGAAAGAAATTACAGGCAGAGATAAAGAAGGTGAAAAAATAGCATGAAGTATAGAGGGTTATAATAAGCCAGTGATAGTTAATAGCGGACTTGGAGCCTTTTGGTTAAAAGTATGGCCTCTAGAGCCAGACTGTCAAGTTCATACTCCAGTTTTGTTCCTATTAATTTCTAACGATGGGTGAGACATTTAATCCTCTGTGCCTCAGTTTGCTCTTTTATCAAATGAGAATGAGGATGATAATAGAATTGTCCCATAAGGGTATTGTCAAGATTAAATGTGCAAGATGCTTATACAAGCAACTGGAATGTAGTAAGCACTCAATAAAAGTTCTTGTCGTTATTTTTAAACTACAAGGGGAAGACAGCCAAAGCACTACATTCAAAAATCAGCGCTTAAAACTAACTCTGTTCCCAGCCTTGACCTGTAGTGTCACAAATGACGAGAGACAAGAGAAAGAATCAGGCCTGCCAATGTGAACGTCTTTGCAAAGCTCCATCACCATATATATACATATATATCTGACAACAGCTCAGTAGCATCAACTTTCCTTATAGAGCATACACATCTATAATCTGATTTTGAACGTAACAGCTTTTGTGCTCCTTGAGCTGTAGTACTTGGCATATTGCCAATAAAAAATAACTGAGTCAAGGACACTGTGTTTCAAACTTACAATAAAATACAGGTTTCCTGTTAAAAGGCAAATCCTTCATTTCAAATTGTTGACTCAGATAATACTTAAAAAAAGAATTTCAGCTGTTTAAATTTAGCATGCTGAGAAAAGACCAATCTTAAAATATTGTTTGGCTTTACGCCCGCATTTTCATTTTATTCCTTGTTAGTGTTTGTCTTCTGTCGTAAGACAAGTGACAGTAATCATGTTGTTCTCCTTAACACATTAGATTTTACCTAAATGACCCATTTTGTTTTTATCTTTAGCAGTTAAAGATGGCCCTTCATTTTCTGGCAAATTTTCAGAAAATTATTACGCAAGAACCAGTGACATTCCCATGCCCTGTTTTACCTCTTCAGTCATCATCTGGCCTTTCACTCCTACTTTCCTTTGAATCATCATATTTTTACTCTTAAAAAAAAAAAAAACATGTAAAGGAGATTATCTGAAGACAGGCCTAATTTAATTTTTATAATCAGACCTTACATCTATTTAAAGAGATGACTGAGTCTGTGCTTTATCTGTAACCTTAAAGATCTCCACCCCACACACAGTCTAAAGAGTTTGTTTTTGATAGTCCCTCAGGGCATAGAATCTGAACAAATTCTCATACCAGCCTCCCACCATGTGATCCCTTATTTTTCTTCCATCTCTCTTGGTTTTGGGATCTTCTAACTTCTCTCCTCTCATATTAACTTCATCATCTTTCTTCCTGGAAAAGATGTCCCCAGCTTCATTTCCATGGTTCATGAAGCCAGAACAGAATACTGAAATTGGAATAGGTGCATATGTCAAGTTTGGATTTGGGGTCAATTTAGGTTCCAATTTACGTAGATCCAATCTCGGGTATTAGTAGAGCAGAGAGTTCTCTCCTGACTGATATAATTTCTCAAGCACTCTCAATGGACTCTACCGTAAAACTATAAGCTCACTCCACTTGCTCCATGGTAGAGTACCATTTTAATAAAACTACCTGGCAAAGTGATTAAGAGTTAGAGCCAGTCACACCTGGGGGCTAAGTCTAGCCCATCATTTACTAAATATATTGCTTTAGGCAATTTGCTTATTACCTCTAGGACTGAGTTTCTTCTAAATGGGAGAGAATGCCATCTCCCTCCTGTAGCTGTTATCCCATAAGCAAGAAGACAAAGTGCTTCACCTAGTACCTGCCATTAGTGTACTCCCAATAACTGAGACCGACTCATGCATTGTGCAGTAAGTAAATCATACACGCAAATAATCCAAGGAGCTATCAAGGAGTTGAACCTACTTCATAGTCAATACCTAAGGGTGAATAAGTACCTGGGATTCTTACATGAGGTCAGATTTTGTGTTGGTGTTTTACAAGATGGAGAAAATGCCAAAAATGGGAGAGAGCTAATAGGAAAAATTTTACCTGAAGCTTCCTCCACACAAGTGCTCCTAGGCTATAGGCATTCGTCTTAAGAGAATTTTGCAACACTATCTTGCATATATAAGTACAGTTCTGTTCCTGAGGCTAGCCAGGAGGAGAAGCATCCAGGAAAGGATCTTCTTTAAATGTCATTTCAAGCCTATGTACCAACATGGTAGCCATTATTAGTAAGCAGAATTAGATTGAGGGACCAGCAGCTATCCTTATCTGGCTACAACTCTTCCTTCTTTCAACAGTGTGCAAGGAAAAGCATGAGTCATAGGATGCTTGTCTAGTTCAGACACCGTCCCAGTAAACCTTACCAATAGTTTAAACCTTAAAATGAGGTTTTATTTCAAAACTCGTTTGAAAATCTTCTCAGACATAACACAAGGTTCATTTACCAGTAGGACAACCAAAGTATGAAGTAAAGGCATTCCCAAAACTCAGCTTCCTCTACTTACGTTCCTACCTTTAAAGAAATTCTGACAAATTTCCATTCAGTCCAAACTCCTATCAATTCCAATCAGGCTCTCAGCCTGATTTTTCTTCTCTTTAGCTAAATACTTGAGGTTCAAGTATGATCTATTCTAGAGTATCAGGGGACTGCTTGAAAACTCGCTCCAACCATGTTCTTTTAGTTTTTGTATAGATGTTTCTGTTTCTTTTTTATTGCTGTCTAAAATGTTTAGCCACTCTCATACATGCACTATCATAACAAATATATACCCTGGATTATATTTTACTCAGTGATTTACGAAGTCATACACAGAGTTTTTGTACTGAGAAATTATGTGTGTGTGGAATGGGTTACCTCTAACAAATCTGGTATATCAATAATGACAAAAATATTCTATCTGGAGATCCCTGAGATGAGTAGGCAAAGCAATTCAAATTACATTCAGGATGTTTTCTTTTTAATAAAATAATGAAGATTAGATGGATTAGAGAAAGAGTAAAACAATTTAAACCTGGAACAATTGGATAAGAATGATCCTTAGTTTCCTCTTTTCTAAGGACGGAGAATTTCAGAATTACTTTGCATTTCACAATAGTCATTTCATAGTTTTGATATCCCTTTATCCCATAGAATTTATGGCAGCCTATGGAAGGGTCCCCCTTAAAATCCTGGATTCTGTTTTAGGTAAACTCTGTTTCTTCATTAATCTTTCTTGCAGAAAACTATACTAATACAGTCATTTCTCCAACTAAGTCCAATATTTTTGTGTAACATATCCTTTTTTGCTTGAGAGATTTCTCTTTTTTCTTCATTAAAAAAAATCTGATCCGTGTAAAAGAAGACCTGGTTAGAAATACCCCAACATTTTTAGACTAATTATTTCTGATTTCCTTCCTTAAAAAGACCTTTAGTATTGTCCTTGCACTCACATTCACTCAGCCCTTTGCTTTACAATGGGCTGGCCCTTGCTGACCTGTTTTTACCTCCTTTAAAAAGAGTTGGTTAACAGCAATTTGAGCAACCAGTTGAAAAGTCGTTTTTTAAAAGTTTTTTAAGCCTTCATTTTTTTGCCAGTGAACACAGTGCTGCTTGGTTCTGAGCATAAAGCCATCTATGTAAAAACCACCCCACTGAAATCACGAGGAAGGAATGGTTTAGCAAGTGGAGGAGATTATTGTAGTAGTAAGAAGCTGGGGGAATCCTGCCCCGTGCACCCACTAAAGAGTATTTTAACGTTTATCCTATCATCAGTGTTCCCCAGGCTGTTGCCTAGCAGTTCTCTGGAGACCTATTTCATGTTTTATTTTAATTTAATAAAGTACCTCAAAGACTTTTGTTTCGTTTTGTTTGTTTACTTGCTTCTTTATTTTACAGATGAAGTCTAGAATGAAACTTGTAACAATTAACTGGTCATTGGAAAGTCTAAACCAGCCTCTTTCCAAATTTTCTTTCGAAAAGGCAAGCTGTCACCATTAGCAACTTTCAGGAGACCACTCTTGTAATTAAATCAAAACGCGTTTGCCAGTTTTGTTGCCTGAAATCACAATGGACAGGGCGCTTTTTGCATACCTAACCAACGCGCGGTATGCGTCTGCAAATAACTGAGCGTAACGCGACTACACGATAACTAGGACGGGAGTCAGGGAGACAACCGATTTAACATCTCACGGGGAATTCAAAGCTATGCTTTTCTAACTTTCCTCGCCATTTCTTCTCAGCTCCCCTTCCCCCGCACCACATACCCAGAAGCCACTCAAATTGCCAGCCGTGTCGAGTTTAACTTACTGCAGTGTGATGCAGGCGAAGCCTGGGCGCATCTCTGAAGCGAGAGCAACTGCTTTTCCGAAGAGGAACTGGGACTAGCCAGCTATCACGATCCTTTCAATTCACGGGCTCTCCGCTCAGTAAAAAGGTTCCCTCACAGCTCGGCGTCCCCAGAGGAGTGGAGCTTCAAGAACTCTGCTCTCAGCATTTCCTCCTCTCTACTTCCACCCCCTTCCAGAAAAAACAGCCCATTCTAACTAGTGTCTGAAAGATGGAAATCGACTTCCAGTCAACAACACAGGCTGCCTGCAGTCCAACAGTCCCTGACAATTTGCAACTCAAAAACCACGGAGGCTGAAAGATGTAGGTTTCCGGAGCCTGAAAGTCATCTTTGGCATCCCTCTACCCCACCTCTCACTCCTCCCACTTCCCCCTCCTCTACCGCGGCCACCTCCAGTCTCCCACTCAAGCTAGGTATCACAAATGATTATTTTATTATCCATACCAATAAGCATCAGAAGGAAACTGAATTTGTCAGAGATGAAATACCTGTTGTCCATGACTAATGCTCTTCTCTCATCTCTTTGAGTCCTTGATTTATATCAAGACGCGTTGATATTGGAAATCTGTGCTCTGTGCGTGTGTGTGTGTGTGTGTGTGTGTGTGTGTGTGTTGAGGAGGAGGCAATCTGCGCGGCTGCAAGCAACAGCCCTGCCTATCTCTGGCTGCCGCTTCTACAGCTGCTGTTGCTACTATTGCCGTTGGAGCTCAGAAAAATGAGACAGGGAGACAGTGCTTTACAGCTATCTAACTGCTGGACCAGTTATAAGACAAGGGAGGAGACCGTGCAGGTATGAGTTGCTGGGGTTGAGACATTAAGCTTGCTTCACTGCATTTACTACTGTTCAAGATGCATTTCCCCTTCAACAGGAAACCTGATACCTGTCACCCTCCTCCCTTTCACTAACTCTAGTCCTTGATGGGTCATTGTTCGTCAACACCTGCCTAACCCACTTCCAGCAGTTGTAACAGCTGCGCACTTTATTTCTACATTCTAACTTGGTGACCTGGGAGCAGGTGACTGGAGGATGGACGAGGATAAAGTAGAAAGGAAGGGAAAAAGCAGGTGAATATTAAAAGGAAAAGTGTATATATGTGTAATCAATCAGGGCACAGATTAAAATGATAATTTTGAGCCATGTGTATAAAATAATGCATTGGGGTAATAAAAATGTAAGCCAGTAAATAATCATGTCTATTTCATAGAATGTATGCAAAACCAAATAGTTATTAAGGAGTGTGCTTACCAGCTTAAATGAAGGGTATCTTGATTTACATGCCCCTTGGTGGCTCTCAGCTTCCCTGCATAATATCCACTGTGATTTCAATGCATTAATATCTCTGTAAGCTACAAATTCTGGTGAAACCTACTGGTTACTGCTGCTTACGGACCCCCTTTCTGTCCTTATTGGTCGCTCATTCCCCGCCCTGAATTATCTCCAGTATATTCTCACATAAGGTGATATTCAGCGAAATTTAGAAGTTAAAGAAGTTCTCAAACCCCCCAAACACTAGATTACTTCTTAATAACTAAATTTTATTTCTCTAGCAATAGTTTGTCTTCATATTCTTGTTCTGTAATAGATTGGGTAATCCGGAACAACCTCTTCTAAATATACACGCAGATACCACTTAATTGAATAGTTCTACTAATCCACTTTCAGCCTTCAGTTGTCTGAGCTAAAAATAAACTTAATTCCTCTTGATTTTATTTGTAATGCACACCTTTAATTATTTCTGCCCTGCTCTGAGCAATTTGCAGGTTTGCCATATATTTTCCCAGTTGTTAGCGCTAGTGTAATCAGGGTTAAATTGGACAGATGTTAATGCAGAAAGAGGAAAGCCCCTGGAAATATAACAGAGGATCCAGAAGGAGGAAAGGAACCCAAAAGGATTAAATAATACATCTTCTCCTGATCTGTTTATATTAGAAAAACACTGCTTTTAGCTAAAAAAGGCCAGCTAATGTTGAAAGTATTTACAAATTATCTAATAAATACCAATTTACCAAAATCAACTTAACTATAATCATAACAGAAAATACACAGGTTAATATTTTATTTTAAAAATCATACAATGTACTAAATTCAAAGAGTATCCAGAATTTTTTAAATTTCAAAATCCTGATAAAACGTGATACCAAACAGCCACCTATTTTTGCCTCTTCATTTTTAGTCTATTAAATCACTATTATACAACATACTATTAATTATTAATTATTTTAATTAATAAATATTAATTTAAAATTAAAATTAATTTTAAAAATAAATATTAAAAATAAATTTATTTTTATTAATAATATACATATTATTAATTAAAACTCTGAAGAGTAACTTCATATTTCATACGTATCTACAATGCAGTGTAAGGAAGCAGGCAACAGTAGTTTACACCCATTAGAAATACATTTGATACAGAAGGAAAATTTTACCCATCGGTCACATGATTTGAAGCTTATCCTGCCTCTCAATCTCATTCTTTACTAAAACTACCAGATTCTGGAATTCCATAGTTTCACGTTGGATTTTTTTGTTATTATTTCACCTTTACTCTTATTTTGAAATTCAAATATATTTAGGAAGAACATTTACGATTTAAACATTCTTGAGAGAGATAATTTATTAGTTATCTTTATTAGAGATAAGCAGGAGCCTACACAGCCAATCTGGGTAGAGATGGAACAACCAGGAAGTAATGAAATAATTGTAATGAGTATTTAATGCTAATTTCTTTGGCTTTTTCAAAAATTGCGTATTGCATTACTGGGATTTAAAGAAGAGACAGCTTTCTTAAAAAAAATACCACACAATCCCCAAAGTGTGGTAATGGAGGAAGAAGATCTTCAGTTGGAGATTGATGGCTGACCTTTACTCCCTGACTCTTTTAACTCAAGATTTTCCATTTTGTGGGAAAACTTACAAATCACTGCTTTATAACTCTGTGCTCATTTCGCTAAGATGTCCTCTCTGCCCTCCTCACTGGATTTTAGAAACTTCATGAGGATCTTTGTGTAATTAATCAATCTCAAAAAAGAAAAATAGTGGTAGAAAAAGATATTTGTTCTATAAATTCCCATTAATCAACAAAATCAACAATTTATGGGAATATAGAAAGAAATAATATCTTAATTTCCAACTAAATCTCTTTTATCATCAAACATGTACAGTCATGCACCGCTGAATGACATTTCGGTCAATGACAGACAGACAATGGTCCCATAAGATTAGTACCGTATAACCTAAGTGTGTAGGAGGCTATAGCACTTAGGTTTGCGTAAGTACCTTCTATGATGTGCGCACAACGACAAAATAGTCTAACAGCACATTTCTCAGAAAGTATCTCCATCATTAAGCAATGCATGACTGTATTCCCAACTAAATTCTGTAATGTAATTGATACTCATTCATCAGAGAAAAGTCAAAAGATTATAAGCTCTGTAATGGCAGAAGCCATGTTTGTTTAGTTCACTCATGTGTCTCTAGCAACCGTAAAAGTACTTAGAATGTGGTATGTGCACAGTAAGTAGTTTTTTAATAAATAAGCAAACAAGTAAATAAATTAATCTCTGAATACAGGGCAATGGGAAGATAAGTGAACTTGGAATAAGGATGTTTAAATTCTTGAAGTCCTTACTCTGCTGCTAAATAACTGGGGCACTTTAGAGAAATTACTTACTTCTGGTGGTCTGGTCTCGAAGTATCCTTTCATGTCTATCACTCACAGACTCCACAAAGCTGTGTAATAAATGTCTGACCCCAATACCCCTCCAAAACAGTTTTCTATTATACAAATTCAATCAATATAATTACCAAGAATCACATTTCCTCAGCATTTTGCAAACCAGTAACATCAGGACCTATTAATCTCTAAGAAACATACAGTTTCCCCCACTTTTGACCTCCAAATCTGTACCACATAGAGTGGGTGGTAGACTAGTTACTTAAAGAAAGCAGGTGCTTACACATTTACCTGTATGTGTATTCCTAAAATGTTAGCCCCGTATGCAGGGTTACAAGCAGGGTAAACTTCGTTGACCTTTTATGAATCAAAGTAAGGTAATTCTTTTATTGTTATTATTATTATTTTTTTAGGGAGATTAGCCCTGAGCTAACTGCTGCAAATCCTCCTCTGTTTGCTGAGAAAGACTGGCCCTGAGCTAACATCCAGGCCCATCTTCCTCTACTTTATACGTGGGACGCCTACCACAGCATGGCTTGCCAAGCAGTGCCATGTCCCCACCCGGGATCTGAACCAGTGAACTCCGGGCTGCTGAAGTGGAACGTGTGAACCTAACCACCGTGCAACTAGGCTGGCCAGTAAGGTAATTCTTAAACAGAAAAAAAATTATGAGAAACAGAGCTTAAATAGTGACATATCATAGGTTATTTTAAAGTAAATATAAGTTCATATTTAATAACAGCTTTTTATATAAACCAGTGCTTAAAAACACCTTATGTCGATTTTATTCAACAAACATTTATTGAGCACCTATTACGTGCAAAGCATTAGGAAGAGAAACATAGTCCAATCAGCCATAGCATCTGCTTTTAAGGGCATATGCTTCCATAAATAAATGTCTTCTTACTTTATAATCTAAAATGTTGTCATTTAAGTTTGTTTTGTTTCAGAAAAATCAAATAGCTCAAATTTATATCAGACATGATTAAAATCATCACCAGCGTTGACTTAAGCTACTTCCTAAACTGAGCAGATGGTCCATGGGAACTTTTTCACTGGTTTTTGATCCATGAATCAGTAGATATAGGCTAAGAGGTTAGCAGAGATCTAGAAAAGACCCTACCTTTAAAAAGAATAATAGTTATAAAATAATTATAAATTTAGATAAGCTGTTAGACATTATCTAGTCCAATTCTCACATTTTATAGGATAGAAAATAACACGGTAGGTCACCATGATTTATTGCTAGACGGTCATTTACCAGTCCTTCTATGGGACTATCTGGCTAGAAATAGTACAGTGTTAGGCATACAAGCTTTGGCACAAAAAAGGCATAATTTCCAGGTATGTCAATGATTAGCTGTATGACCTTGGGAAAATTATTTTTCCACGCATCAGTTTCCTCATCTATAAAATGAGGATTTTTTTTTTTAGCTATATTGAGGTATAATTTACAAATAAAATTGGAATATACTTAAAATATACAACATGATGATTTGATGTATGTATACAATATCAAAAGATTCCCACATCAAGTTAATTAACACCTGCATGATCTCACATATTTGATTTTTTTCTTTTTTTGCTAGAACACTTATATTCTACTCTGTCAGCAAATTTCAATTATACAATACAGTATTA